CTACCAATAATCCTTTTGACTGATTTTGCCCAACTTGACAAAAAGCTTACAGAGACTTCATGATCCGTTGTATTTATGGTTTGGGTTTTGTGTGGTTTTCATTCCTGTTTTATTTATTATTTTTGGTTGTTGTGTTGTATCCTGGATATTTAGTTTAGAAGTTTTCTTTAAAAAATGTAAGTTTCCTGGTGTCTGAGAGGCTGAACTTACAGTATTACAAAATTATCAATATATTACTTGAAAATGATCTCAAAACAACAATGCTATTGTTTATTTCTGGGACTATTTAATGTCCAGCAACATTTGTTATTGTGACAGGCCCAACCATGTATCAGTTTTATTTGTCTTTTCCATTAAGCAGTGCTTTGTGTTTGTCCGTCCAGTCATTTGGCTCAGTCTGGTTTTCTCTGAGTGTTTCTCCTGTTCTGCTGGTCCAGGTGGAGATCCAGAAGTTACGTCTGTACTGTGATCCTCACCAGAGCGAGAGAGAAACTGCTTGTGAAATCTACTCTGTGGTGAGCTGTTTGCCATTTTAATCTCTCAAATATATGAAAGTTGCACACAGGAAGTTTGAATATATAAAATTTGTGTGTTTTTCTCTTTTTCTTTTATCCTCAGGATGATGAAAGGGTAAGGCAGATTTTTTTTCCCTTTCCTCATGCATTTTAATTGGGCTTTTCTTCATAACTGAGCACCACTGAGACTTGGATGTCGCTACGGTGACATCACTTATTGGTTTGTTGACTTCTGTTCTGAAGCCTCAAATTTCCATTTTGGTAATTTAAGTCTTGGTTTCTGCACATATTATTTGGAAAAAGTTGAGAACAAATTTTCTGTTTGACCCAATATATTCATATAAATGTATTACAGGACTGCTTTTAATAGAATCACATAACAGAAGTAGACTGCGCTTAACTTCTTGTACAGCTTTGCAGGTTAGGGCTGTTGTTTATATAAAAACAGACTTAGCAGCACAACTTTTAATAGGTTTATATTTGAGTAATATGATCATTGTTCATTCTATTCTATGAACTACTTACCACATGTCTCAAAAATTCCAAGCAAATATTTAGTATTTATTTGCAGAAAATGAGAAATGGTCAAAATAATAAAAAAGATGCAGTGCTTTTGGACCTCAAATAATGCAAAGAAAATAAGTTCATACTTATTTAGAAACAATAATACTAATGTTTGAACTCAGGAAGAGTTCAGAAATTTATATTTAATCCTGGAATAAATTAAAAACCTCCTGGAATAACCAGGAGGTTTTCAGTGTTGTTTAGTGCAGTGGGCTCTTCATGACTTCCACCTCTATGACATTTCTATAACTGAAGGTAATATATATACTTAATTGTACTATACAATTACATTATGTGAGTGGAATACACATAATACTGCCCCTTCAAATCCCAAGTGGCGGAGCAAGAGACAAATTCACAAAGTAAAAAAGCATCAACAATTTTTAAAATAGAAAAAAAATGTGCTGAAAATAAGTAGAAGATACAGTATATAGATCTAATATCATTAGACAAAACAAAAAGGAGAACTTGCACAATCATTTGGAGCAGCACAAAAATAATATCCAGAAACCATGGGAAGTGCTCTACAGTTTAATTTAAAAACAAGCAGCAATAGGAACTTTTTCCAGTTCTTCTGATGATGCTTATGTAAAGCAAAGTGAAGATATGATCTTTTACCTACACTTTGTGTAGGTAAAATCTAGGATTTTTGCATTATTACTCTGCAGAACTGCACTATTGAATAAATAATTAAAATACCAAAATGGGTATTTATGCTTGTGAAATATGATAATTGAAAACTTTAATCACATTTCCAACAAAGACATTTCAAGAGCAGAGTCTTAGAATGCTTAGCTGCTGAAATGTGACTGATTTGTCTGAACGTTTCCTTGTCCTCCAGTGTCCACTGAATCGAACAGCCACCCCGGAACAAGAAGAAGAAGAAGACTGCAACTGTGCCCTCGGCCCACCAGGGCAGCGTGGCCCACCAGGACGGATGGTAATACACAAACAAATACAGAGGCGCTTGATGAATGACCCCACATTTACCCTTCTGATGAAATCAAATGTGTGTGTGCGTGTGTAGGCTGTACAAACAAAGAGATCAGGCTCTGACAGTGCTGTTTCTTTTTCCACTTTTTTGATTAAACAATTATTGTCTGCCCACATCATATAGCATATATGGTGGATGCTAATTTCCTGTTGTGTGCTGTATGAAAACGGGCAGGAAAAAAAAACTAAACAAAACAAAAATCCCACAGCACATGAAAACCAGGAAACGGGGAAATGTAAATGACTGTTGATGTGGTTTTAGCACATCATGCAACAAAAATAAAACTAAACATATCAAGGCGTTCTTCTGCTTTCCACTAATGATCTGTGATGAGGTTCGGTTGTAATAAGTCTCTTCTGATGACTCTTTATTCATTCGGTGAAAATGAGAGCGGCCCAACCAGATGCACTACCAAGGCACTTATTTGTGCCTTTTTAAACTTACACCAAGAAACAGGCGGCTGAGTTTTCTCAGTTTTTATTTTCACTGTTTAATACATATATCAAAAAATAACGACATGCTATGAAAGCCCATATGTTTTCAATGTGGCAATTGAAGTTATTGGAACAACTATATTCAACTATATTGGTAAAGAAATATGTATTTTCCAACACAGGGTTTCTTTACTGAACACACAATGTTGCTTTGATTGCTTTAGCATAAAAACACCAATAAAGAAAATCATGTAATAGTAATTATGCAGAAGAATATTTACCCCAAGCTTAATGTAAATGGATTCACATAAAATGTTGTTAGTCTAACATACAACAACAGTGAATAATTGACTGACAGGCAAATGGTAGGTTCCTAAAGGCAAGCTCATGGCGTAGCTGACAAAATAAAGCTGTGGTCGATGAGTATTTCTGCCAATCACATGATATTTTTTAATGCTACAGGGTTTCAGAGGTGAAAAAGGGAGGGAAGGACCACCGGGACCTGATGGTAAGCCTGTAAGTGCCGATCACTTTCATCACAATTATTTTCCTCAGGTTGCTCCCTCCATTCTGTAGGACACATACTGAATAAATGTGATGAAAATTATATCAACTTGTTTTTGTCCTCAGGGTAAAGAAGGTAAACCTGGTGAAGCCGGCCCTCCTGGATTTCCAGGGATAAAAGTAATGCTATTCTACTTTATATTTATGAGTTTTGATTGTGGTTAGAGGAGATTCCTTGCAAACCTATGGACATAGCATTTTCAGCCTGTATCTAAATTTGTTATAAGTCATAGCTAATAAAATAATCAAAAATGAATGTCAGCAATAAAGTATATTGTCCTGTTCAGTGTACGTTGACATAAACTGTTGACTTTAATTACAAAAATTAGTACACGTTCAGTGACATTCCAAATTCTCTGCCTTTATAGGACTGATGCTGAAGAAAACTTTGGTGGTTGCTTCCATGTTAATAAAATCGTCAGCATCACCAATATTGTAAATTACTGAACAGGCTACAGTAATTATCCAAAATTGTTCCCACGTTAGCAAAACAATAACATAAACTTTCAGTTTTTAAAAAGTTGTTCATATAAGTTTTAAACCACTGCTTGTTGTCCTGCATCAGCTAGCTAAGGTGTTATGCTAGAGCTAGCTTGTTGCCAGTGTATCCTAGAAAAAAACCTGTTTTTAAGTTTAGTTTAGCCAGGTTAAGATTAATGAATTTATGTTCACAGCGCTGACAGATCCTGAACTAAATTAACAGCTCCAATATGAAGGTCTCATGTGTTTATTATGATTAGAAAAATAGCAGACATTATGCTAATTCACAAATTAGCATATTGATTGTTAATCCCTATTCTCTCTTTTTGTGTTTGCTTATGTGAGATATACTCTATATTGACTGAATTCTCAAAACAGCTGCTTTCTTTCCCAAATTGGAATGTTTTTATTATTAGAATATCAAAGAAAATGTGGAATGAAAACGCCCCATTTTGGCTGAGTTTGTAAACGCAGTTACTTCAACCCTCTTAGTACTGTTAAGTCTGTGCAGACATTTGGCATGAGTTTTATTTTCTTTTGCCCTTAAAACTGTTGTTGCACCATCAAAAACACATAGAAAAACATAATGACTGCCAAATACAGAGAGCCTAAATGTTCCTGGTAAAAGCAGCCAAAGTATATTTCTTAATTTGTCTACAGTCAAAAAGCTCTAAGGTGAAACAGGTGGCTTTTTATGATTTTTGAAATACTGTGCAAAAAAGGTAATTCTGTTGCCAATGTGTTTATCATTCAGTAGAATGATAAATCAACAGAATTACTTTTTTGTTGAATAGCTAATCATATTCTAATGAACCAAATCCTTTACTGCTGCTGTATTCTGACTTTTTAACCACATGTGTTGCCATGTAAATTTGATAAAAAATCCAAGTTAAAGCAAAAGCTGTTAACATTTTATGAATTCATTTTGCATATTTATACATATTTAGTAATCCAAACATCTTGATCAGGCAAACTGACTGTGGTGTCTTGGCTTATATTTGAAAATAGTTGTATTTGTCCCAAGGAAATAACATAGTGTGTATCCATCCATCTTTGGATACATATGTATGAGCATACAAACATACAGCACCACTAGTGTGGCACCCCTCTAACTGAAGTTTCTGAATAATTATCCGTCTGCTGGGCAGGGTGAAGAAGGCCCCCAAGGACTAAGAGGAGAGCCTGGTGTTAAAGGTATCAAGGCAAGTACATGACATTGTAGGTTTTTTTTTCTTGTTGTTGAATCTGTTGTGTAGTTCTGACAATGCTTTGTTTCACTTTGCGCCCAGGGAGACCGAGGGGAACCAGGTCTAACTGGAAAACCTGGACCAACAGGACCACAGGTGAGAGTGGAAGAGTCAGGAAAAGGTTCTATAGGAATGTCTTTCTGCTTTTGTAACATTCTTAAAGGAGGCTGAACTTCTCATGGCCTTGTCTTCATGTCTGCCTTTGATAGTTTTTGCCTTTCAAAAAGTTATTTAACATACCCCGGTATTGTAGTTACGTTTGTACTTTCTACCCTCATAACTGTATTACTTCAAATTTAAAGACTTATTTTCTGACCAAAGCAAAGAACGCCTCTGTTCACCACCAAAGACTTTGATAAGCTTCTCCAGAGAACTGAAGTGATAGAAGCAAAGATTCACTGACTTGAGGTTAATGTTGAGGTCAAGGCAGGATTTGGACATGAGACAACCTTACAGATGATTCAAAATAATGAAAGGACTGACAGACAATGACTCGGCACTATGACAACCCATCCTTTAGGTCTGAGGTAACCTTTACAGGATGAACCCTGCACTTAGACAAAACAGCGTGGCCACATCAGAGCCCAGATGTCCCCTCTTCGACCTCGGAACCGAGAACAAAACAAACAACAGGAGTTATCAATGTGGAATTCCACTGAAAAACAGGTTTGCTGAAATTCAGCAGGAGTTTACGAGGGAAACCTCAACTTCAAACATCAACAAGAGGTTGAGAATCCAGACAGGTTCCTCCTAAAGTGAACCAGAAACCAGAAAATAACAGAATCGTAGATGTAAAACAAAGAGGTTAAAATGCTCTGCCAACCCCATGATGTTATGCTTGATATGTTAGGAATAGTCCCATCAATTATTAATGATCACCCTGGAACTGAGGATTTAATCATACATGCTGGAGTGAATGATATTGCCAAACAAAACTATGAAATTCTGAAATCACCCGCTGAACACACTGGAAATCTCAAGATGTTCTGCGACCTCAGTCAACTCTGTTGGCAAACCCAGAATCTTCTGGTAGCGTCTTGATCTCTTCAAACCGGACGGATTCTGTCTGAGTAAATGTGGGTGGAAATTATTCACAACAAATGTCTTCGGTGTCATGAATCAGAAAAACTGCTCTGCCAAAAGCAAAACACACATCTAACACCAGCACCTGTTTACCTTTAGTGGATTGCTGCAGCGGTGTCTTCACAGGTCAATCAATCCTCCAAGTTCTGTTCAGAGTTGCCTTTGGTTAATAATAACTGGAGTATTCACTAGCATATTTGATGTCAATGATTTTGATGATGGCATTTGAGGACATATAATGATTGCTGCTTCTTCTTAAAGCTGCTGATTATTATGGAATATGTATATTATTAAAAGAGACAAAATTGACAGCATTTCAAAACTGTAAGACTTAGCTAATTGCAAGATACATTTCATACAGCTACTTCACCATAAAAGTCTGTTGGTTTCTGTATTTTTTTTTATTCCTTTTGTCCAGGGACTTCCTGGAGAGAGAGGTGAGGCAGGACCTGTAGGAGAAACTGGTCTTAAGGTGAGATTAAATAATTATTAAAAAATGGAAGCTGAACTGAACAAAATTGCATTTTCTGCAAAAAAGCAGCATTAACTGGTATGGCTAAGCTGATCTGACAAAGAAGCTGAACTGAAGCAGAAGCACTTTTAAGATACAAACTTACATAAATATTAAACTATTTTGATTAAATGTGTTTATGTAATGCAATAGAAAAACACTAGAGAGGCAAAACCCCCTGATGTTAAAGTCTAAATTACCAGGACTATATGGAGAGTTAAAATGAAAAAAAAAAAATAAAAATAAAAAATAAAACAAATACTTCATTAAATCAATAGTTGTAATAATTTCACGTGTCAAACTCGCCCATCAAAGTTCATGGGCGGGGCTTATACCAATATGTTGAGCTCCACTACCTTGTAATGGAGGACTTTCATGAACAACATAAAAGTCATTCAGACTCCATGATAAAGTCATGGGGAATCTTATAAAAATCTTACATAGTGTTGACAGATAATGTAAGATGCTCTGAAAAAAATCAGGCCAAGTGGAGTTCATCAGTGTTGTAGCCCCGCCCACAATCCCGCCCTCGACTTTAATGCCTGAAGTCGAGAGATAAAATTATTGTATGGTGATGCTGCAGAAACAAGAACCATAAAATAAGTAAATACATATTTAATTATTTATCTACATATGTTATTACATTTTTGTATTTTAATCATTTAATGGCACATTTAATAATTTATTTACCTATTATGTAAATGATTTAAACATTTGATTAAATATATTTATTTCATGGTACATTTAATTATTGATTTATTGATGTATTTTTTCAATTTTGTCTCTTTTAGCCCTCCATATCTCTAGCCTAGTTTCACAGAGCTGGACGTATCTAACAGCGTTTTTGTCTCCAACCAGGGGGAACCAGGACCACCAGGTATGGATGGAGCAGCAGGGCTAACAGGACAGAAGGTCAGTACAGAAAAGTTTGTCTAGATTGGACACAATATAGAGTGTACCATATTTATTCTAGTGACTTGAATTATTTTGGCTTGCAATTCTTTTCACAAGACAACTCAGTTTTAGTCAGACAATTATATAACATATGTCCTCTATTAAAACAATTAATTCAGAAGAAGTGTGAGATGCGCATATAAAAACATAACAGATATGTGAATGTATAGACACGCTGCATGTTATAGTTTACAATTTTGTGCATGCAAAGAACATTGGAGGGCAAAAGAGGATTCTTTCACTTGCCATCCATTAAAAAATATGGATGGCATATGGTAGAACAATTCCAATAACAAAACGAACCTGGGACTGTATGGATTATTAATTTAGTGGAGCGCCCCGCAGCAGGAAAAAAAAAAAAAATAAATAAAATAAAGAAAATGCAGAAAAACCATTGAAGAACAACTCAAAACCAGTCGTGTTCTTTTTTTTTGTTTTTTTTTTGCTCTCTGTGTTGACTATGCTACACACAAAAACATAAATTGCAACTTATTGCTGTAGGAACTTATTGCTATTGCAATACGTTGCAACAGCAGCTCCACAGCTCCACTAGTGTATCAAGATTCAACACCAAAAGCGCATAAACCTTTCCCACACAAAGACCAGAACATTCAGTCTGTTACAGTTTTATGTTTCCAGTTTTATGTTTCCAGGCATAATGTTTATTTTGTAATTATTAATAAGTGATTGAACACAGCAGTGGTTGATTAGCTAACATATCTCAGTTACGTTTATCATAGTCAAGCTAGCATAACTGACCTATTTCCCTCTCCCTCGCTTTTTTTTTCCCCAATTAGAACTTTTTCCTGACCTGTGAAATGTGACACTCTTGGACCTCGTCATCTAGTTGCCATTATGGCGACAAATAGTAGTAAAGAACTGCATCTCTCTTTCTTTTACATCACACGTACATTTAAGATTTAGAGCTTCACATTGACAACCTGACAGCTAAAACCAATGCTAGCTATCGTCAATAAGCAGATTTTTTAACCTCCATCAGGGAGATGGAAGGCGGGCTCTTGCACGTGTCCCATCACGTTGCAACACATCTCTACATCTTTAAACATTGTTTTGACAATTACGTAGTTCAACCCAAAATTAGAGCTTCTGCAAAAATAGTTTATCCTGCTAATTATCATAGTTTTGTACTTTGGGTTCTGGGGGAAAGGAAATTTAGCAATACTAGTAGCTAAACACTTACAAGTTAATATTATTTTATAAGAAAAACTACGGAAGAACAAAACACCAGTGTCATCGCGTAAAACAATGAGCTTGTCACTCATTAATACCACATGATCAGAGTGAGTCTGAACTATAGGTTACATGAGAAGTCCTCCTGTGGTAACTTCGCCCAAGCTAAATGAGAGAGCACAAGCACACATCTGCAAGCATGTGAGCACGCCCACCAACAAGCAAGTGTGTGATGCTATTTACAGTCCTCTCTGAACTCAACTTTGTCTTAGTAATTTTAGATCCTTCCTGTTATCATGATAAACTGTTTTCCTCAAGAATCTGGAAGTGTTCTGCTCCAACAGCTGCGTTTGTGTGTGTATGTTTCTATGAAGTGAAGTTAATATAGAATGACAACTAACTGCTGCTAACTGTGTGTTAGAAAACAACAACAAAGAAACCATACTTGGTATTTAATTTTTTTGAAACTAAACACAAAGTTGCATTAAAATGTGCCACTGTAAAAACACAAAATCTTACTAAGTATTTTTGGCTTAATTTCTAGTGCAAATATGTAAGTACAATTGAAAAACCGAAACTATATAATATATGACATTATAATAGTTATATTGTGTTAACAACTGGTTGTTAATGCTGGTGGAAAAGACAAATATGACAGGAAGTGGTGGGAGGAAGATGGCGCAGCAGGTTTTTAATGACTTATATGATTTTAACTATTTCTTATTCAATGGGAACACCACATTTGCGAAATTGTGTTTTTTTTCTTGACATTAGCAGAACATAGACAAAGTTTGGTGCACATTTATAATGGAAATGGCTTCTCCTGCTTTCCCTAATCAGCGGCTAAACAAGTCGGATTGTGTTCACACGTCTCCAGTCAGCACAACAAACAGCTCATATCCTCAGTAGGCTGTTTTTTCTGGGAATCTGGGTATTCTAATGACCCAAGGAAGTTTTTCTACACTCCCCAGTTAGCATAGAGTTAAATATTTGTTAAAGTAAGAGACGTCTACAGTCCTGCTTATGCTGCAGAGCAGAAGTACAAATCTCATGGAGCCTGCAGGGAGTGAGCAGTCAGTGATAATAAGAAAACAAAATAAAGATCCACATGTGAACCAAATTAGCACGCGGTGTGGTCGCCCGGGGAAACATCGCCGGCCTTCCGTAAAAGATTTCTTCTCTGTCATCCATGACAGCTCCATTGCATGTTAATGAGGCCTACAGTTAGATAAACTGTGATAGGCTTCAGTCTGTCACTGTGGCCTCTAATCATTGTCCTGGTCCATTTTAGCATCCACACAATAAGGCAAATTTCCAGCAAACAAGAGAGTGACGTGGCAGTGAAGATTAAAACATATCTTTGATGAAGGATTAGGTCTGTTATTATCAGAGTTTATAATTGTGATTAGGAGAAGCTCAAGCTCAACTGGGGAGGTGTGAAGTTTGATGTGACAAAGGTACCGTTTCGCATTTCTTCCCTATAATCAGGAAATGTATAATTGTCATCTGCGAGAACAGTAAGTGGTTTCGGTGTTTAAAATGAGAAACTTGCTTTTGAACCCCTGAATGATGACCTACTATCAACAAAATTACCAACTTGTGCAGACAAACGATGGAAATCAAAACGAAGCAAGTGAAAGTCAATGTTGGGTTATCTTTAACCTCTGTGTTTGCAATTTGCGAGAGACTTCAGAGGCCACCTAAAAATAAAACTCAGCTTAACTCTAAGCTGCTGTTAGACCACCAAATCGTAGGATCTGGAAGAAGCAAAAAGGAGGTCTATATGTTGTGTTTGGGGTTTGGCTTCACACCATAACCACCACTGATCTTCCTCATCCATCCATCCATCCATTCATTTTCTGTACACCCTCGTCCCTAGAGAGGTCGGGAGGGGTGCTGGTCACTGAACTTCCTGTCTAATCCTTTTGGTCTTGATTTCACATGCAGCATTTAGATCAAAATTTGGAATAAGTGTTATGGAAGCATGAATCCAAAAAATTATTCCTTCACCAGAAAAGGAGGTTTTGGATTGATCAGTCAGACAAAACTCACAATTTATTCAATGATGGCTTTTTTTTGTTGTTGTTGTTGTTTTGACATTGCTGACATGAACCAATCTCTGTATGTCTGTATGTGTTCTCTGTACGTCCTCAAACATGACCATGAGGCTTGTGTCTCTGTTTAAGCCTTCTGCACAGACACAGAGCTTCTTCTTCTGTAATGTTAAATGCAGCGTTCAGTATGTTTGTTAGAGGGAAACAACTGAATTAGAGTCTGTTTTCTTTTGAAGTGTCTCACCGCACTACGCACATATAAAGCCCTTGCAAGCGGCAGACCTCACAATTACACAGCCGAGACGCCCACCACCGCCCAATAAATGACAACAGGACATAAATCTCGGGATGTCTAGAACAGGAGAAAATAGACAAGTCCAGAGAAATTGGTGTGATGCTGTCCTTGTGTGAAGGCAGACTAATCCCCGTCCACGATTATGTCCTCTTAAAAACTGAAACATCGTCACATCTGGGAGCTTAAGTTCTATAAACAAATGTCAATAAAAAAATACAGGCTTCTAAAAAAAACACCAGGAACCACAATTGAATATATTTTGTGTCTGGAACATTGTTTCAAAGCAAGGATCAAGCAAGACAGTAATTAATTTGCTACAAACTCTAGGATGTCACAGTCGAGGTCTGTAAATGGTTTCTTTCCGTAAATGAAGCTTGAACACAGCATTAGCCTGACAAGACAAGTTGGACACAACAGCCAATGCAGAATACAGGTCAACCCAAGGAACACAAAGTAGTGTGTCTAATTACAATTCCTAATACTTGTGCTTTATTGTTGCTAACTTGCTTCCAATAAAACAAGGCCTTGCAAAAGTGCAAAATACCCTTTGACCCTTTCTAAATTTTGTCACATAAGAACCACAAGCACTTTCTTAAGATTTTATGTGATAGAACAACAGAAAATGGTGCATGACATGATTTTTAAATGGTAGTGTGGGTTTATTTTCAGCCCAACTGTCAGTAAGGCAAACGAATGGTAAAGCCCAAGGACAAAGGCACAGAAATAAAAAAAAATGCTTAAATTTAGCACAAAATAGTTTACAAAAATTCATGAAAAAGCTAATTTTTCAAAAATCTGGAAAAAGGAAATGATGCCAACCAAGACAAACATGGCTTGTCTTACACATATAACACATAAAACAGTATAACACATAAAACAGACCTAGCAATTAAAGGCAAATGAGCGGTAACACTAAGAAACAACTATGACAAGCACATGGAGATAATTCAAAACAACGGATTATAACTACAACACAAATGTTAAAACTAAGGGTCTTTTCAACCCTAATTGTCCTCTTGGTACCAAATTTGCAACATTTGTTTCACTTCCAGCTGCTTTTGACCATTGTACTACAATGGTGAAAAGTAAACTTTAACTTTCTTAATCTAATTTCTTCCTTTGTGGTTTTGGCTGTATGCTCATGGTTTTTCTAGTAGAACAGGGGTATTTAACTCCAGTCCTCGAGGGTGAAGTGTCCTACAACTTTTAGATGTGCCCTTGGTAAACAGTCCTGAATCAAATGGCTTAATTACATCCTTAGTATTCAGTCATGTTCTCCATATTCCTACTAATGCCCTGATTATTTCACTCAGGTGTGTGGAAGCAGAGACACATCAAATAGTTGCAGGTTACCGGTCCTAGAGTACTAGAGTTGGAGACGCTTGTGCTAGAAGGTAAACTTCTGAACAAGTCTGAAG